TAAAGTTATATAATATAATTTATAGAATGTTAAATGTTATATGGATTTAATAATCAATGTAGATTGTTTTCTAAATCATGAATGGTTTATTTAAATTAATTATGAATATAAATGCTAACTTTTATGTTTGTTCTTATTTATTTGGTGTTCGCAAGAACTTTGCATTACTTTTGGCGCAATTTTGAATAATTTTAGTATATCATCAATGTAATTTGGTATATCTTTCAATTATATGATATATCAAATAATGACATTTCATTACTATTGTGATAATTTAATTTATATATTGTATTTTTACTAATCTTAACGGTCTTATTTTTTCTAATAACCGTAACACTTTTAATAATTGTACTTTTTACAAATCTCCTAATATCTTATAATTTTTATCTTATTTTATAATTTTTCATAACTATGTTATTTTCAAGATTGACTGTCTCAATAGTTTTTTTTCCAGTCTATTCAATTTTATATTTCATTGTGCAACATCATCGTTTGTATGTATTCTAAAATTTCACTTTAAAAATGTTTAATGTTTACACCTTGATATTAATTTTTTTTAATAAACCCGTATAATAATTATGGAATATATATCTCGTTTTAATTAACATTTACTTCCTTCATTAAATCAAATTCCTCATTAAATGAATATATTTTTGGAAAGTAATAATTATAAATGGACAACATTATCTAAGATGTAAATGTTTGATATACTTTTGGAGGAAAAAAATCAGGATCATTAAAAAAATTTATATAAAGAAAATACAAATTTAAATTTGATGAAATTATGGATGAAATTACTCGCAAAAATTATTTTGGAAGGAGTTGTATTTTGTAAAGTATAATAATATTACAAAATTCGAAATATGTATATTTGTTGTGTAAATTTATAAATTTTATTATTACTATATAAAGATAAAAAAGTAGGTTGATATGATATATAAAAACATAATAATTTCAATGATATTTTAAAATCATGACAAAATTAACCGGATTCTTATGATATAAAAATTAAAAAAAATCATAATCATCTCTAATAAATAAAAGTAACATTTCCGTAATTAATGTCAGTTCCCAGAATAAGTAATTTATGTTTTGTTAAAAGTATGTAATATCTTTTCCTGTTTATTTGAAAAGTTTCAGAAAAAATAGTTAACTAATTTCATGTAATTTGTGACAAAGAAAATCGAAATATATGAATACATATATTTGAAATAGGAACAAAAAATAATCGAAAAAATATAAAAAACGAAAAAAGGTACTGACCTTCTAGTGTACAAGAGCGGATGTTTGAAGTAGAGAACGATGATGAAAGTTATAAGCAATAATAATGATGTTGTAGGAAATGTTTGAAGAAAAGAAACAATTGAAAATAAGTGTAAGCCGTGGATTAAAGGATGAATCATATATGTATGTGATAATTTGAATATGATTTTTTGGTATTAATGATTTCCTAATAAAAATAGATTTTATATTAATGTTTTACTAATATAAACAGATTTATATTAATGGTTGATATTAATGCATTGATTGAAATGATTTGTTAGTAATATGCTTTTAAAATTGACTATATTAAAATCTTCATAACCGGAAATTCAAGATTTAAAATATGGAAATCTTTTATTGGAATTAAATACATTCCATTTCAACGAATGTAAGTTATTGGAATTAAATACATTCCATATGGGGAAGATGGTGTCAGCAATTTGATCTAAGGGTGAAAAATATAAGATTAAAATACAATCAATGGTCCAGATTATTTAAGATGATATCATAAAGTTTCTTTTTTAATAATATTTAAAGATTAGAGTTTATTTTCCAATGGTTTTTTAGTATATTAGTCTAAAGCATGTTATATTTTGAAGAATTAATTTGTACTTTTGAATTCATTTTAACAAATTATTAAAACGTCTAAAGAAAATTAGTTGAATTGTTAAGATTTTTTATTACTATTTTAAAATGATTAATTTGAGTTCTTAATCTTTCAATTTTAATTAATTGATATGCAGTATAATTCTTGTTTTTAGAACTTAATCCATGTACTTCAAATTCTTTTTCTTTTAAATGTCTTGTGGATTTTTCTAAATCTTTCCATAATTTTTTAAGTAAATTAACTTTATAGTTATTATCGAAATTACAATATACTTGAGTTTTATTGCTCATAATTTTATTTGCCATGTGAAAGGTCGTTTAATAGTAAGTGATTTTTTTAAATGGTGGTTTTTCATTAAGTGGTTATTTTTTAATAGTTTTTATTTTTAAATATTTTTCAAGTAATATTTTCTAGTTGAGTTAAATTTTGTAATAATTTATGAATTTGTTTTAATACAAGTAAACTTTCTATTTCTATAATATTATATAACTTTTGATTAATTACATTTAATTTATCTCCTATTGCTTTATCTACTTCAGAACTAAAATCAATATTATATAATGTTCCTTATGGTAAATCTTGTGGTATTTTTATAATCATTTCTTTATCTGGTATGCATAGTTTTGTATTTTGATATGGATCTTCAAATGTTTTGAAATATTTTAAGGAATTACTAGATGATTCTGTCATATTCTTAAACTTAATGATTTAATCATTTCTTTAATATCTTCTAATTTTTCATCTTTATTTTCAATAGATGTTGTAGGCTGATTTTCCGAGATGGAGGATCTACATATTATAGTTGAATTTGGAGGTTTTATAATTTGATTTTTTTATTAACGGAGTAGTTATTATTGGTTGAAAATTAGTTTCATTAAATATTCCATTATTAGCTATATTTGGTAATTCAAGGCATAATAAAGGTGTAAATAATATATATATATATATATATATATATATATATATATATATATATATATATATATATATATATATATTCTATCTTCTATTTTAAACGTAATACTATGATGAGAATTTTTTAGTGCATAATTTATTTGATATGTAATAGTATATGGATGATTACCTTTTAATATAAAATTTTGTCTTAATAATTTATATCGTACGGTAATATTATTACTTAGATTTTTATCTTTAAGACTTAACCCTAGTTGAATATTAATATTAAATTTTATTTTTCCTTCAATTAAATTACATTTTACTTTTGCAACAATACTTTCTTGTTTGTTAATTATACGACCATCTATGATTTCTAATTCTGATGGTGTGTCTAAGTCACTAAAAGTACTTTTTAAAATTACTTGAATAGTTGATATATGAATATAAATAGTTTTTATTCTATCTACTTCTTTAATATTAGATAATCTATTTCTAATTTGTTGTTTATTTATTATAGGTATAATAATATTTCTTTTAGTTGATTCTATGGGTATTGGTTCTTCTCCTATCATTTTTCTATAGTATATAATATTTTTTCTAGAAAATGAATTTTTTAATGAGTTATTTCTAAAATTATGTTTTTCTTATAGTTTAAAATTTGATTTTCTTGTAGCATCTTTATTAATATTATTTTTATTAATTAGAATATCAAAAATGTATCCAGATTAATTTTCTTCTTTATTAATAATTATTGGTGAATTTTTTATTTCTTGAGGCATATTTAACAAACTAATCTTGTTATCTTATCTTCAAGATTTTTTATTTGTTCTTGTTTCCAGTTAATACCATTATCTATTATATCTATTGCTTTAATATTAGATATGCAATTGATTATTGATATGTTAGAATCTAGTTTACAATCTAAAAGAAATTTATAGATTGTTTTAGTGTTTTATGAAACAAATTTAATTCTTGTTTATTATTATTTAGACTTGAAAAACTCATGATTATAATTCTATAATAACAATAACTTAGTTATGTTTTAGATCATAATTACGATTAAAAATTATAGTTAAAATGATGGTGATAGTGGAGTTTATTATGACTTATTTTTTATGATGATTATGATATGAAATTTATGATGCATGATTAACATATATTCATGAAACGATGAATGATATCTTGTGATGATTATGCATGAAAATAACGATGTGAATTCATAATAAGAATGATACCTTGCTCTGATACCAAATTGAAAGGAGGTTGCGTCGAGATGATCTTTTGATGATATTCATAATTGATGATGGATTGTTTGGATTATCTTGGATGATTATATAGATGGATTGGATAGAGGGCTCTAATGAACCGGTTACATAATTGAGAATTTCAATCGTATGATTGCAACACGATAAACCTATTTTACAATTTAGACCCCTAAACTATCAAGGGTTTATACTTTATATTACATCCTACTGACACTTACTTTATGTCACATTTTACACATTACATCCTACCGATACTTTACAATAATTAAGTTACCAACAATAATAACGACAAATGACAAATATAATAAATTACAAATCCGATTGACGCAAACAATGACGCATAAAGACATTATTGAAGATATTATTGAAAACACGCGTCCTTTCATTGTGGAAGGATTTGTAATTTATTATATTTGTCATTTTTGTTATTATTATCAGTAGATTAATTATTGTAAAATGTCGGTAGGATGTAATATGTAAATGTGACATAAAGTAAGTATCAGTAAGATGTAACATAAAGTGTAAGATCCTTGAAAATCCTTGAACCTATGACCTTCCAATTATCCTATTTTACAATTTAAACCTCTATAAATAGGACAATTCTCAAATATTATAGGCTCTAATGAAATAAACAAAATCTATAAATAGAGCATTAGAGTCTATAAACCCTTTTTCCATAAATATATTCTTACTAGATTAAGTCAAACACCGACTATGTAATTAAGATTCTATATCGAGTTCACGTTAAAACCAGGTATCCAATTTGAGGAGTTAGACTCTCAATTGGAAGGTCATAGGTTTAAATCTCACTTAAGACATGTGTAATTAAGACTAGGATTAGTTTGTGGTTTTAAAAAAAAAAAAAGTAATTTCTTTGTATTAAACCTGGTCGGGTCGCTAGTACTCAACTACTTGCTACTAGTAACAATAATAAAAACTCATTTAGCAAACCATAAATGACACAAGCCCATCAAGTTTGAATAAGCATATGCCCATATAGAGTTGAATTATTTCAATACACAACCTTTTTTACAACAAGATAAATCATTAAATTACATATTTTGCTCATATTCTAATTTTGATTTTCATATTCATAAAGACTTGGCGTGGAAAATACCCCTTAATACAACAAATTTTGTGGGACAACAGCTCCCAACTTTTCTCCCATAACACATACATACATACATACATACAGGATGATGAAGTGATACATACATCTTTGAAGCTCTCCTCGTGATGATTCATGGGCAAAACAGTAAATTCCCATCCGAGTCCCCTACACCCTCTTCCATCTCAAAACTATTCTCTCCTTGACAAATAAAAAGATCCGCTCACCATAACATAATAAGCTCATGCATGTCTTGACCCATCATCATGCAATTGGGTGGTTCGCACACTAGGCTCCTCCTGTCATAACAAAACCAAAAAGGTGGGACAATGCAAAAGACGAAAATACCCCTAGAAAAAGACAAGAGAAACCAACCCGAATGCCATATGTGAAGCCTGGTGCACGTAAAAAGTCCATTTGACCCTGCAGACAACAACCCTAGACTGTTGTTATATATATCACAAATAACAAAACTTTAACATTTAATTTTACTTACTAAACTTTTTATTTTAAAATTAAATCACAAGTAACATCAACATAATAATCACAACATACCAGGCTATGAAGGGTAGGCTGAGCACCATAATAACACTCATGATTTGGTGCTATTGAATTCAATTGCCCCTATACAAAATACAATACAAATAACAAATCTAAACTTTTTAAAACTAAATCATAATTTATGAGATGAGATGATCTACCAGTCCTTGAATAGCCTGTTGGTTTCCATAATAATTATCTCTTGAAGGTGCCATCAAGTTAAGCTGAACCTTAATTAACCACAAAAAAATAAAAAAATACTGAATCAACTACAAAACTAAAAGATTTGATAAATATTGTTTACTACTTATATAATCAAACCCTACCATTCCTTGCATACTTTGCTGTGGACCAAAATACCCATCCAGACCTATTGATCGTGAGCTCAATTTGTCCTGTAAAAATCACAAATCACCATTATTCATTCATCCATAAACAAATATAATTAAGTTTTAAAAAAAATAGAAAAATGCAAACCAGTTGCTGCAAGCTGTCTTGGCCTCCAACAGTCATAATATCCTGTTCTGAGTTTGCCTACATAAAAAAGGATCCATAAAATTAGAATAAGATCTATATATATATATATATATATATATATATATATATATATATATATATAAGTAGAGAAATAGAACCTTTCTTTTCTTCATAGGATTCTTCTTTTTATTTGCACGTGTGTTTCTTTGATTATCATCTTCAATCCTCAAAACACCTTGACCACTTGATGTCCCCACTTCAATAAGATTCTTATTTGAATTGTTTAAACAAACACAATTTGTATAAACCTCTTCAAGTGCACCAATTGCCAAATTATAACTCTCCTGAGATAAAGACCCCTCTTCCCCCAATTTAATTGCCCTCTGACATAAATCATTATACCTCTGAACCCTATACTGCAACTGCTCACCCCCTTCAGACATCAAAGTCAAACCCCTGTTCTTCACATCTTTTGTCCACCTTTTCAGAATATACTGAGCTGGAATACTGGAAAGACCACAAATTTGAAGAACAATCATCGCGTGTCTACATAAAAACCCCTTGAATTCAAACAAACGACAGATACATGTCACTTCAGATGTTGACTCGTTATAAGAAACATTGAAATCCATGTTCTTTTCAAAATCAGAAACCCTAAAAGTCGCCACCATTTCCTCTTGTGCTTCTTTTTTAGGCATACAAGCAACAGCACCCAAGACTTCAACTTGAAATTTCTTGAAAACAGTGTGTGTGTATATACTTGACACGTGTTTTTCAAAAGGTGATGGAGACCTTAATGTTGGAGGTTTGTTCCATGTGTCAGAATCCCCTTTTGCTTCTTCTTCATATCTATCTTGGATTATAGTTTCATACTGTCTTATAAACTCTTGCACACTCGTTTTTCTATGGACATATTTGTCAAAAAAACAGTTTACACTTTCGGATCTTTGAGGAGTTGACATTCCAGCTAGACAAACATCTTTCATATAGATCGGGACCCACTGCTTACGGGTTTCGTATAAAGACTGCATCCAATCATAATCTTTAAGTCCAAATCTTTCTATTATCTTAAACCATCTCTTCTCAAATTGCTCATCTATCCATGACCTATGGATACACTTTTCAAATTTCACCATGAAATTATCATGCTCTTTAATCACATGATTAAGAGCTTCAGATATTTTCCCCATTATGTTCCACAAACAAAAACAATGCTTTGAAGATGGAAAGATTTGAGCAACTGAAGATTCCAAGTTATGATCTTTATCAGTGATCACAACTTTAGGGACTCTTCCACCCATTGCAGCCAACCATGTTTGCATAACCCATGAATAAGTCGCACTACTTTCATCAGATAGTAGAGCACATCCAAGTAACATGAACTGATAATGTTGATTCACCCCAATGAAAAGAGCAAGAGGCATTTTGTATTTGTTTTTAACGTATGATGTATCAAATGATACAACATCACAAAAGTTGACATAATCATGTCTGGTTTTTGCATCTGCCCATAACATGTTTTTCACACGTTGATCTTCACCTACATCTATTGCATAAAAGAAATTCGAATTTATACTCTGCATATGGATAAAAAATTTGCAGAGTATATTCGCCTCTCCTGCTTCTAAAGCTGTGTTACGGGTTTTATCAAAAGGGTTGCTAGAATCATTCTTTAAACCAACAACATTTTTGTACTCTGCAAATTGTCTAGCCATGGCAGCATACATTTTTCTTGTTTGTTCACTGACAGCTTGAGCAGGTAAAAGTTCATGGTTGTGTTCTTTTTCGAATCTATGGATGATCCATTTTCCATCGGGTCTTCTTTTCACATGCATGCTTGCTTTGCAATCTGTTTTGGAACATGATCTTCTTCCAGAAGCATTTTCAGGATCTTGATTGGTTCTATGTCTGCCATGTGGTCGATTGAATGATTTGTCATGTTCACGTTTTGTTCCATATCTTGAACATGCAAATTTTGCATCAATGAACTCTCTGGATGTTTTTGATCTTCGGCTGTTTTGTATTGCAGTGCTGAAACCCATGGATCTTGCGTATTCTTGATAGAAAGAATATGCTTCACCATGTGATTCGAATTCCATGCCTGCAATTGGTTCAAGATTTATGTCATCTTCTTTATATTCTGCCATATCAAGTGATGGAGAATTCAGTCCTATGTCATTGTCAGGAGGTGACTTGTCTCGAATGGATAAAAACTCTTCATTATGTATTTTATGTTCAGCATCTATCATGTTGCTCATCTCTTTCGCCTCCTCTTCTTTCTCTTCATTTTCATGGTCTCCAGAAGGGAGCCTAAGATCAATATCCATGGTAAGGATTTAGGGGTTTTCACTCGATTCTTTCAGTGGCTACCTACAAGGGAAGATGAATATTAGCATATAAAAGCAACAGGAAGATCCTTGTGAAAACCGTGTGAGTAAATAAATACACTCTTGAAAGCAAAGAAAAAAAGACAGAATACACATACAAAAGGCAAGCTGCATCAATGTTCTTCTCATCATTCAACTGTAAAAAAAGATGCTTTAAAGCAGTAGAAGTGCAGACAGTGATATTGCATAGTTTTTACTACCATCATAATTCATAATCATAAGATCACCTTCTAACAACATCCCTAGTGAATCATTGCATTAGATATGACATTGAGAAAATTTTACTAAAATAATGATATTATGCAGGCAAGATGACTTTTAGGAGTTCTTAAGTACTTGATCTGGAACTAAAAATGGATGCTTGTTCCGATAAGATAGTATACAATGCGGAGAATTAATGAATCAAAAAAAATTCAAGAAGATAAACGAAAATTAGAATCAAAAGCTACACAATTAATACTTTCCAGATAGCTGAACCCATGTGGACATATAGAAATAGAACGTCTGAATATTGTTACATGGATACCAAGTACTTGTAATGTCGCAAAAAAGTGGAGTAACTATTGAACATTTAATGTGGCTACAAAATTTTCCATCAATAGACATATAACAATAGGTATCTTGAAGTAGAGCTTCATTCCGTTGACTATCTAAAGTGGACTTTTGCCATGGTATACCACAACTGAGAAATATCAGAATTTAGAGCAAACTAGTCGGAGTATCAAGAGCTGAAACAAAGATGGTCCATCTGTCTTAGGTACAGGCGTCATTACAATCTTTTGAGCAAATTGACAGTTTTTACTGGCAACGTTATTCCAGAAGAAGAATCCATGGCACTACAATTAAACTCTACCAAAGTACAGATTAATCATGCCGAAAAATCAAAGAAGATGAATTATAAGAATTGTCAATTTTCGACCTGCGGCACCAATTTCAGCCCAAAATTGGGGGATCCTCTCGTTCTATGTACACTCGAGATGAACCCAGTTCAGATTGGAAAGATTATCATGCGTGGAAGTAGAACCAAAAGGATAAACAACAAAATACATGGGTTTGTGTCGTGAGTAGTGATTAAAGTTTAAAGGATGAAAGAAGAAGATCGCAGAGGAGAAGCGGGTGTACCTCGTGTATGTAAAATGAGGATCAATGGTGGTGCTAAATTCGATCTGCTGGAAGCTGGAAAATCCACGCGACGGGGTTGAGCGAGTGGATGGACGAACTTTTTTCCCCCAAATTGGATTGCCTGATTAGGGTTTGTTTGGAGCTTCACTCGCTTACCTATTTTCCCTTCTCTCTCTCTTCCTTTGTCTATGGCGCGTGACCCACCTGCGGTATGAGAAGATCAAAATGTAGAAAACCCAAACCTTGTTTTCGGGGTCTTAAAAAAGTTACAAACTGATACAAAGTTACAAATATATATAACATAGTAAATAAAAAAATTATAATATAATAAGGACAAAATTGCAAAAATGATCTTAAATTTTTGGGTTTTTAGTTCAAACCTTTAAGTTTTTTGGGTTTATGATCTTTTTGGAGTGGTTTGTATGTAAAAATAATCTCTCTAAAAATTGAAATGACTATAATACCATTGGAGTATTTATTTTCATTTTTTTTATTTTTTAAAAGTTTAATATTAATTTATTTATTTTAACAATTAAAAAAATAATAAAGGACCCACCTCTCTCTCTCTCTCTCTCTCTCTCTCTCTCTCTCTCTCTCTCTCTCTCTCTCTCTCTCTCTCTCTCTCTCTCTCTCTCTCTCCTGGACGCATTCTTCTAACACCATCACCCAGTCAAAAAAAAAACCCAGAAGAAACTCTTAGCCCCCACCTCCATCGTGGTCCTCCTGCTCCGTCACTCCTCCAAAACCACTATCTTTTTAGCAACGACGTCAATCTTCGCCGCCATCTCCCTCGTTCTCATCCTCAAACACAAACAACAACAAAGAAGAATCAGAGTTGTGAGTTCGATCAAACCCACCTCCAATGAGATGAATCAGCTCGATTTGGACACATACCTTTGTTCCAAGCAGAGCTTCGATTCTGATTTGGACACGAGCTTGAAAAATGATACCACTTGGGTTTAATTTAGGGTTTATTTTAAAAGATGAAATCTAGCGAGAAAAAAATGTATGGAGTCTTGGCATGTTGTTAAATCAAAGGGGAAGAACAATCAACCTAAAAAAGCAATGGAAATGGAGGAGAGGACTACCGCTAGGTGTTGAAACACGTGAAAGTTCATCGGGAGCTGTAAATCTTCAACATCTAAAGTCAATAATTCAATCAGTGGCATCAGGAGGGTATCTTGATTTCAAAAGAGTTTGTTCTTCAAATATATAAACACACTCATCAAGAAGACATCTCGATTTCTGATTTAATGTGTATGGAGATACAGGTGGGTGATGGTGGTGGTGGCTGGTGTGATTTTTGGATCTTGTGATGATTGGGGTTCTTTCGATTTGGGTTCCTTTATATTGGAAAGAAGTATTTGGACATGTTGCGGTGTTATAATTTAAAACAAAACACGAAAATAGAATCGCAATGTTGAATCATTAAGAAAAATATGTAGTTAATCTTCATAATTTGATATTCATGAGTGGGTGATGGTGTAGGAAGAATGCGTCCAGGAGAGAGAGAGAGAGAGAGAGAGAGAGAGAGAGAGAGAGAGAGAGAGAGAGAGAGAAAGAGAGAGAGTTGGGTCCTCTATTAGTTTTTTAATTGTTAAAATAAGTAAATAAATGTTAAATTTTTTTAAAAAAATGAAAGAAAAATGAAAAATAAATACCCCAAGAGTATTATAGTCATTTCAATTTTCGGAGGGACTATTTTCACATACAAACCACCCCAAAAGGACTATGAATCCAAAAAACTCGGGGTTTGGACTAAAACCCCAAAATTTTGCATACCATAAGCACCATTTTTGCAATTTTGTCTATAATAAGTAAACCATAATAAGTAAAAATCAAATGTTATTTGTTTTGTAGAAAAAAATTATTTAACTGTTTATTAATACTTATTTTACAAAAAAATCCATACTAACTTTGTTAAATTTTGTACAAAAAAATATGTAAAAAAAAGTTATGAAAAATTTAGGGCATTTTAAATTAAATAAAACTTCATTCGAAAAATTAAGAAAGATTGTAGAAAAAAATAGAAAAAAATATTAAATAAAAATTAAAGCTAATAATTTCTTTTATAAATTTACCCAAAAAATGCAAATTTATAAAAGGAATTGAGACTAAATGTACATACACATGCACATAAAATATGTCAAACCCTGTTATGAAATTAATTGTAAAAAATAAACTAGTAAAAGTTGGAGTTGTTAGAGCACCAACATGTACATGCACAGACAATGCCGACCTATGAGTCTATGCAAGCTGGACGACCATCCCAAATGCCAAAAGGCCCCCATTTTATATGTATATATGGAGTTATATTTTATATGTATATATGGAGTTATATAGTGGCTGCCCATTAATTTTAAAGCTAATGGACTAGTTTTTCAAGGGCTCCATATTCTAATATGGGAGGCACCATGTCCAAAAGAAGGAACGGGAGCGAGAATTATACCTACCTGTGTTTTCACTTTCCAAGGCGTCATCATCTTTTGATTTGTATGGAAAATCCAAATGCTTGTCCTATTCTCCTAAAGACAAATCATTGTCGTTCATAGTAACTTCACTATTTTCTATTTCTTAAAAACTTATTCAAGTTAATTTGTCACACCCTCAAACCGGAACGACGGAAACGTTCAGGGACGGAAGACATCATGTACAGTATCACAACAATTGTATAATAGGAATCAAAGCAAACACAACCATTACATTGATAAGGTAAAGTTTTTACATCTGTTCAATACATGGCTTATATGATATCAAAATGTATAACCAAAAATATAAAAGACGCGACTCTAAAAGCTATGTCTTCTCAAAATATATGGGTGTACCTGTCTTATGGGTTCCCTGAGAATACAAGTGATTTTGAAAGTGTGTCAACATTTAAGTTAGTGAGTTTATAAGTATGTTTGTAATTGAAATCCATCAATTTTTCCTTGAAAATGTAAGTATGTTTCCCAGAAAATCCTATATTTTCTGCTGTAATCTGTTATACTCAAAACGTGTAAATGCCATTGTACTTTGTAAAAAGATAGTTTTTCACATAAAACTATGAATGTATGTTTTCTTTGTGTTGGAATAGTTTTATGTATTCGTACTTATGTTTAAAACCCTCTAAACTTACCAGTGATACTTGTAAAATAATGTTCTATAGCCTTATTATTTAAATAAAACAATGTGAAGTGGTTTACTTATTCATACACTAATCGTGACAACATAACCATGCATAATATGACGGATGGCCTCACTCGACGTTCTTCAGGCGTCGAAAATCGTTCATGACGTTTGTCACCCCAGGCGTGCCGGCCTAACTGTAGCTAATAATTAAGGTACGAGATTGTCAGTACCGTATAGATCTATACATAAAGTCACGCTCTCCCTCCAGGAGACTCTAGTTATTAGGGTCAGGACTTTTGTTGACACTTAAATAAGTACTTGAAGACGTTACCTCACAAAGCTATATCGACGGTTAAGTGTAGAATATCTGAAAAATCCTTTTGAAATGAATATATGTTTATATGTTCCATAAACTATACCTAATATAGTTTATATGTTCGTTTATGTGGTAAAACATATACTTGGTATTATAATACTTATGTTCCATAAACTATACCAATTATAGTTTATTTGTTCGTTTGTTTTGTATCTTTGCATCTTGTAAATATGTTGTCAGTGTTCCTTAAACTATACCTATTATAGCTTATATGTTCGTTTGTTTGTATCTTCGTATTTTGTAAATATGATATCGGCGTTCCATAAACCATATAAACTATAGTATATAAATATGTCTCATTTGAAATGTAATTATTCTAAAAGTTTTCCTTTGCTCGACATGTTACAAAGGATTAAAAGATTGTACTCGCATTTATATATAACAATATATATAAAAAAATATGTAATCGTATGAACAACGGTTGAAACCAATTGAAATAGCTTTTAAGACATTTAAAATTGTTTGTAACCGTTTGAAATTGTTGGAAATCGTTGAAATGTTTACAAAAATTTAATTGTGTTGTACTTGTATCCCCCCCCCCCCTCCCTAAAACATGGAAAAATATTGAAAATGTAGGGGTATGAACTCACCTCAAATGTGCGTTAACTGGAGTTAGTGGGTTGTAGAGACGATTCCCGAGTAGCGTACGCTCTAATTACGTTGCCCTAAAAATAATTGTATTCATCGTTGATGTATGTAAAACCAACTAGTTTTAATCCTACTAACTTAGACACAAAATAAACACACGAAAGGCAGTGTACCTATCAATTAGTAATATAGTTCAAGCAAGTAGGGTATCGAACACAGGGAACGGTAAACAATTAAAATAAATGCTAATATTATCTAAATAAAACAAATAATATAAAGGGGGTTTTCTCTAGTTTTGCAAGACTAGAAACTTAAACAATTAACTAAAACTTAAACTAAGAAACTAAGAGCTAAGCAAATAAAAATCAACTAAATTTAATAATAAAGAGGACTTCTGTTTAGGTTCGACTCATTTGTTCCCATGGATGATTTCAATGTATCGGATTAATTCTTCATTGGCTACCGACTAAGATGATTAGTTTCACGTTTGCTATTACTAATCCTTAGGAAACAAATTAACTCAAGCAGTGGCCAGTTATCTAAATTAACGAATTTCCTAGTTATTGATTCGGGTTAAATAAGACTTGTAATGGTTAATTAAATTGGCCCTTCAATTAACCTCTTGCTGATGTTCATCAAACAATCTCACACATTAACTTACCTATCTTCTAGTTAATTCTAGTTTCACATTCGTTAATCCTAGACATACAACTATGTGGTCACAATAAATCATATGAAATTAATAACTAAGAGATGTTCATACAACTTAATTACTAATGTATTAACAGAAGAATAGTTATTGTTAACACATAAGGTTCTTTAACAAGCTTAATAAAACATAATCACCAATTAAAATTAATCATAATCAAATAATCAATCCATGTTCACAAATTCATCTACCTAAACAGAAGTTATGAGTTTTTAGCTCATGATTACAGCAGAAACAAGCACAAAAACGAAATCAATTGGTAAAAACATAGTTCAAACAAGAGATTAGGTAAGAGTAAACTTGATTTTGACTTGATTCTCCTTAAAATTGAATGTAGGGTTGATTCCCTTGCTTCCTACGCTCCAGCAGCACCTTTAGTCGACAATTGGCCTCCAAGGGTTCATCTATATCTTAGGGTATCAATCTGAAAGTCCCTTTATATAGATTTTCACAAAACAGGGGCTACTCGGCGAGTCCATTGACCTACTCGGCGAGTCCATCACTTAAAACTGACCAACTCGGTGAGTAATCGACCCTACTCGCTGAGTACGTTTCGAATCAGCATTTTCTCAAAACACGAAAGTTGTCCGAAATTGTGTCTACTTTTCAGACATTTTGAATCTTGTCAATCGGAGTTACGGTTCATGAGATATGGCCAAAACACTGATGAGGGGTCAAACTGTCCAGCAACATCCTTCTTTCTTCAAAATCCAATATCCAAGCCTCCAATCGCTAGTTCCACTTCCTTTTCCTTCCGAGCATGTCATTATTGCTGAAAAATGAAATTCTAAACTAATTAAGCACCTTTTGTTCATTTAATGAGATAAAATCAACATAAAGTATTAAGATAATGCATGAAGTTTATAACTAAATATGCCCATATCAATCGTCGTATTTAAATTAATAATAAATTAATTTAAATAAGGTGTTAAATAATTAATTATGTAAACAATACTTACAAAATTAATTTGGAATAACTGGAAATGTTGAAGGGTGAATTCGGTGGGCAAAATAGTGTTCTCGGTGGGGAAATAGAGTTTTCAGTGTGTTCTTGGGAAAATTCTGAGTTTTTGAAGATGGTTCTTGTGTTCTTGAGTAAAATCTTGAAGATATGAAGGATATGATGAAAATTTGAATGTGGGCTTGATGAATTCGGTTAAAGATTTAAAGATGGTATAAAGATCTGGGCAAATCTCTTGAAGATTGAGAGAATCCTAGGATGAATTTTGAGAGAAAAATTGCAAGAGTTCGGTGTGAAAAGTGGGGAAATGAGGTTGATTTCGATTGAACATAAATATATAGGGGTGAGAATTTGGTCTTAATGGGTTGGACTATGTGTGTGTTCGGTCTTAATGGGCCATTTTCTTTGTGAATTCGATCCTACA